ACAGAATTGAGATATTTTCTTTGAATTGAATTTTGCTGTTATTGGATTAATTTTTCTGTAAGGTTTTGTAAAACTAGATGATTTGCCCTGTCTAAATGTTAAGAAGATATAGACAAATTTTTCTAGTCCGAAATAATTTCTTAATAATAAAATTTTTAATGAGGTTTTTAAAGACCGAATGTTATGAAATTTTACAAAGAAAGAGGACATTATAACTAACAATATCGATTGGAATGCTTTTTTAATGTCTTTTCTGGATGATTATATAATAAAAATTCATAAAATCTTAGAAGGATTGCCATTCCATCAACTCAATCACAAAGCTATACATGGAAATTTTTACAGAGAAGTTTCATTGAGCTTTTTAATGGGCAAAAGGAAATTAAGTTTTAAAGAAATCAAAATAACTAATCAGCCTTTTCATCTTATGGGTAAAATCAAAGTATACACTGTACAGCTGCTGTAAAGGAAACGCAATATTTGTCAGAATTAGAGGGCTAATCAGGGGACCGAAGAAAATAGGTGTCAAGTTTTAGGATATTGCTGAACATGCATTTATCTTAAAGCTTAAGATACAGAGTATATTCAAATGCTTATTATTCATTAGGAATAAGGTTAGAGGTATGCAAACATGTTGCCCATTTTTAATGAATTTTCCATTCATTATCTCGACCACCATATATGTACTGGATGGAAAAATGATGGTTAAATTGATGTTGTAGGTCAGAGATATTTATGATGGAGGAGATTATCTTGTTCTGGTCACAACTGATAGGCAAAGTGCTTTTGATAGAATCCTTGCTTCAATTCCCTTTAAGGGTCAGGTAATTGTAGTTCTTCACTCCGCGTTTTGAGATACTTTACAGTGGGAAAAATGCAGGAGTTCTTAAAATGATTTCTGCCGGCATTCAGAAAAATGATTCTTGTGGAAAATTAATATTTTTTTAGTAATTAAGCTTCATATTGGATTTTTTTGAAGAAAATTCCCCCTTGCACTTTTTACTACATACAGGTGCTTAATGAAACAAGTTTATGGTGGTTTAGTAAAACTCAGCACGTAACTCCAAATGCAGTGGTATGTTCACCAGATAAGAATGTTACTATCGCAAAGAAATGTTCTGTTTTTCCTGTTGAATTTGTTGGTGAGTATTTCAAGTGATTTTAACAATTGTTCTTGCATGTTTCCTTAATTTTTTATAATTTTCTAGAAGGCCATATCTTTCCATGCATACAAGAGTTGTTGCTGTGCTTTTTAACACTGTTGGTTATCTGTAGTTAGAGGTTATGTGACTGGAAGTACTGATACATCACTTTGGACGGTCTACAAAGATGGTGTTCGAAATTATTGTGGCAATGCTCTTCCCGATGGTAAGGTTTGTGATTGATACAGTTTGTGTCTGGGCGCCAGTTGCAAACCAATTAAAATTGTTTTTCCATCCGTTACAAAGCAAAGCAGCCCACCATATTTGACTCTTCCTCTCTCATGTGGCCCCCACTTGTTGACTTTAACGGTTGGATTTACACTCAAAATTTGATGGAAATCTCAAACAGACAGGCCTATAATATTGAACTTATACTGAATCTTTGTTTTTATACTGTCTTGCATATACTTGTAACAGACTTGGTGAAGAACCAAAAGCTACCGGCAAATATACTTACACCGACAACTAAAGCTGCAGATCATGATGTTCCTGTAACCCCCCAGGAGGTTTGGATTCCCTTACATTCTATTTTAGCTACCGCAGTTATGAATACTTTCTGTCTTTGCTTATTAGGCTTCTCCTTCCACCTAACCAATCTATCACTGAACCTGTAGAATGTGATCTCTATTGAGCTTCATTGATTACCACTAAACGCAACACGAGTTCAAACCATGCCAAGTGCGAGCCTAAAGTTCAGGGTCAAATTTTACATCAAGCTGAGTCTGTATCATAGTAGCTCCACTAGAATTATGCTCAGCAGTGTGGCAAAGTTATTTTGTATTTTTATATTTAATTTTGGATGTAAGGTTTCATAGTACAATACTAATAAATGTGGTGACATTCATCCAAGGTCTTAGGCAATTCCGTGTTGCATTGTTTTCTACTACAGAATATGTATTTGAGAGAGAGAACCTAAGCGATAGTCATATGGTAGACTGACTGGTATTCATAAGGTTAAGCGATAAAATTCATTTTAATTCTTTAGATAAACATATTTTCATAGGATGATTTTTTTAGGACGGAGATCAAAGTTATAGATTGGGTCGCGGATGAAGAATAGGAAATTTCTGCTGTTTAGGATAGGTTAATCAGCCAGATAGACTAGCAGCTGGTCCTTCACCGCTGAATACTGGACACTTAATTGTCCATTATTCATACTTATAATTAAGTATTATTACATCCTACTGGAATTTTACGAAAATGGTTCCAAAGGCTAATTGTAAAAGGATCAAATTCCATTATTTTGCCAAGGAACAAAATCCCAACTTTAAGCTACCCAACTAATATTTCCTTTTCGATATGCTAGGTTAATCACCTAGATTATATTCCATGTAAACTAATTCAAACTATACATTTAAAACTGCACTGACCCCTATTCAAACTTTAAACCTAGTTATCTACCAATTCAGATATATTGTTTGTCCTTGATAACCAATTTTTCTTGCAAATTCTTTGGTCAACATTTTCATTGATAACAATGATAATTCGAGGTTGTTCAAATCTTACTGGAAATCCATTTCTTTGGAATTCTGACATCTCACCTGGCCTTTATTTAGCCCCCCTTAAGGATCGCACTGAATAAAAAGCTGCATATCTACAGGAATTTTTGCCAACTAACTTATCTAAAGAGGCAAACTAGCATATATGGTAGTTTGAATAATTTTTCAAGTGTCAGGTGTCAATTGCAAAATGCTTATGTTTTATGCACATTTTGCATTGCAGATTGTTCAGCGTGGGCTGATGACTCAAGATGATTATGATGAAGTAAGTGGGAAAGCTTTAAGTCTCTTCCAATACGGGCAGGTGCTAATCTCAACTTCATTTGTCTTCCACTGTTCTTTTTACTTGTGTCAAATCTTAGATTTTGCTTTTGCATACTGGCAGAAATAAAAAGCAGATTATTTTACTTCGTTATTCCATGAACCAAGTTATAGATGATAGGTGCATCATTTTAGTTTTCAGGTCATGATGATATGCATTTTAGTTTCATATTTAAAGTAAAATGGAATTTTATTTTGCATATAGAAGCATTCCTCTGAGACCAATGCATTCACATGCATGATTGTATCCATTAGGTCAAATATGGATAATGATGTTTTTCATTTTTATATTAATTTTTAAACTCAGCAAGTAGCTCTGGAACGTGGCCTGATTTTGGTGGATACTAAATACGAATTCGGGAAGGGATCTGATGGCACAGTGCTTTTGATTGATGAGGTTATTGTTCCAACCGAAACACTCTTTTCTTATGCAAAATAGAATGCACGATGGCATACTCGTGTGTGTCCATTCTATGACAATAAATTGTGATTTTCCATCGTGTCAATTTTAGGTGCATACACCTGACTCAAGCAGGTATTGGATTGCTGATTCTTATGAGCAACGCTTTGAGAATGGTTTTGAACCCGAGAACATTGACAAGGTGCATCATCATTCTGATTTGTTACATCCATTTATTATATACTGATATCTTCCTTTTGAGTAGATCTACAATATTACTGACTTTTAGGATAACTAAATATTTGGTAGGAATTTTTGAGGTTGTGGTTTAAAGATCATTGCAACCCATATGAAGATGAGGTAAACTTAAATAATAATAAATTATTTTTTCATTATTTATATGTTGAATCAAACTATGGTCAATACTTTCTTAGGTCTTGCCTGATGCACCTGAAGAACTTGTTACTGAATTAGCTTGGCGGTATGACTTCCATCTCATGCTGAGTTTGCAGGGTTATATTATTTCATACGTTAGTTAAATGGAAATGAGCAAACATATCCTTTTTGCAAGCTGATACACAAGGCTTCTTTACATCCTTTGATTACAGGTATATTTTCTTATACGAGACAATAACAAAATCAAAGTTTGAAATGCCCATGACTAAGGTAATAAATATTTGGTAGATAAGACATCTTTCTGTTGGGACAACATCGAGTATTATAGCGTTCAATGTCTTCATGCAGGAACATATACACGATAGGATATCTCGCAATGTTTCCCAGGCACTTTCATCTCTGTGACAATGCTGTCAAGATCTATATGACTGACCCGATTTTGCCAAAAATATTTCAGTAGGGTGTGAGTTTACTAATATTCTTGGACTCCCGAGTTTTTTGGTGAATCGTGAATGGTTCTTTCTTGCTGTTCTTATTTTTCCCTTTTATTTTATTAATAAGATTTGATCCTTTCAAAAGGATAAAATGAAGGAGCACTCCTTTTCTTCTCAATCGAGGCTCTTTTTCCTCCTCCACCCTCCAACTGTTGATGTAAAAAATTCGTCATCAAATGTAAAATTTTCATTGTCGTCGTCAATTCGCATTTTTTCCCCCTTTTGCTGATGAAATGGCATCGTTTAGCTTCAAGTGTCTCCTACATTGATTGTCCCATAAGCGTGACACCTACATTTTTCTTCATTGTATTGTATACGCAACTTAACTTTGAAGGGTTGCTCAATTGAAAAAGCCTTGGGTTTGTCCCTCAATGGTCACCAGTTCGAGTCCTCTCGGGGCCACTGAGGTGAGTACCCGATCTTAAACTTCAGGGGTCTGTGGGATTAATCGAGGTGCGCATAAGATGGTCCGAATATTCACGGTTATTAAAAAAAAAGTACTGTATATGCAACTTATTAACCAAGTTTTGTTTTAATATTATTTGCTTTAAAAATTGGCACAAGTAAACAAGTTGAACCAAATTTTAATTCAAAATACTAAACAGTTGTTAAGAGAAGAATTTGGCAAGGCGAATATACATTTTTCGTGAGATACGGAGGTGACACGGAGGATCATAAAACACAACAACTAATTTATATGAGTTTCAACGAATGCTAGGATTGCTACACCGGCTGCCCAAATTTCGTCGTCTGACACATGCTCGGTCGGGGAATGACTAATACCACCCCGACAATGCACAAATAACATGGCAACCTATCCAGCATTACAAATCATCAATATATAGAGGGAAGTATACATGTAAAGCTAATAAGAGGAATGCTAGCAGCAGTCTCAGGTACTCAGTTACTTCGGTGTTGAGCATACTTGGCAAAGCTTTTATTAAATTATAAGTTGGCCTACGAAATGCATGAATAATAATAAACAGGTAAAAGTTGTGAGTCATACTGTATATGTGGATAAAATAAAGATTGACCAACTTATAAACAAGTATAAGCTTTGCCAAACACGCATGAATACAGTGTCAGTGGTTTGCTACAAGAGACTGTCGATAGCCTTCATATGATACGATAATAACATAAAAGACTAAGAAGGCAGACCTTAGTTAGATGAGACATGGCCATTGCATCATGTCCAGCTCCACTCATCAATACAAGCACATCGTCTGGATTCTCGCCTGTTAATCGTTTCAAAGCAGCATAAGCGGTAGAGTTTAGCTCTAAACTCAATCCCTGATCGCAGATCAATGCATTGGCGTCGTGCTGAAATTATCCGAACTCAAATGAGCTACAAATTAATTTTTGGCACATGAATCAAAAATGGGATGCAAACCTCGCACCTTACGGTCGACATGACAAAAAACTGAACGCCAATCACATATTTGGTACGTCCTGTTAGACAATTCATAAATAATAGCTTCTCGTCCTAGGTCATCCATTGCCCGTATGTAATAGTAAAGGTCACCTGCAAGCAGATGAATCATTTTGAATGCAAAAATGAGTAAATTCCTCGTCTGATAATCGTGTCACGGAATGTTGCAGGAATATATGCAGTTTCAAGACATTGAATACGTGCCTGGCCTGGAATCACGTTACTTGCACTTGGCCAGGTTGATATTTCTCCAACAGTACAAACAAGAGATCCTCCAAGAGATTGAGCCGTAGAAGCCATGCACTGACCATCATAAGATAGATAATCCTCAGGTTGTTTACAGAGACTTTCCAACAACACAATTAATTCTGCAGCAGCAGCCCTTGGATCTTGACGCAATTTCATGGGGACTGTTCCTGCATGCCCCTGTGAACCTTTTACGGTCACCTGCAAATTATAGGAAGCGAGATTTACCAATTTAAGTAAAAGAAATATGTAATTACAAGTTGGTGTCCAAAGCAACTAAGCAAATGGCATACTTCATTTTCAATATTATAAAATAAGAATTATACTACTACTCTACTAGTCACTAGGGGAAAAAAAATCAACAATGGAAAATATGGCCTTAGCAGTATATTACTAGTCTCTGAGATTTGCATGTAAAAGCGTGTAAATATATTTCTGAACTATATGATATAAACGCTTAGTTACCCTTAGCCGCGTCTGCCCTGCAATCCCTTTTACCACACCAAGAGGAAAACCTGCAGTTTCTAGTACAGGTCCCTGTTCAATGTGAACCTACAATGCATTAAAAATAAATTTAGTATAAGAATCATAGTAACATAAACTTATCTCTTGATTTCTTGCCTGCAGCAGCAGTCTTCCAGGTAGGAAAATGCTGGCATACCTTAATAAAATTCCAGAGATTTAGGATCATATTTGAGCTACAAAAGGTTTTCCTCTGTAGCATCAATGGAGTTTATTTTCAAAACACCTTGCACAGTGACACCACTGAATAATTTACATTTATCCATGGGCAGAGGACAGAGGACCATCAACTTACAAGTGAATACAATTTCTTGAATTACTAATGCGAACCTCTTATCCTGCAAATGCAATGATGAAACAGGCAACTCACCAGAAATTGCTGCGCTTCCTAAGAAAGTAGACTGAAATCTAACTCCTTCCTCATCACTAAATGCAATAACCTGAAAAAAGATGAGAGCAGAGAATCAAGATACTTAGCTCTACAAAGAAATGGCCAAGATAGCAAGACAGAAGATTTCTGTTTCCTTCTTCTGTATAAGATAAACTTGAACCCCCATTCTGAACAATTTTCATTACACATGACAACATTTTTAACAGAGAAAGAGAGAGAGATTTAAGATGATGATGATTTCACACAGCCAAACCTGTAGCCAAATCCAATTACCATGGCCTTACAGTATTAATGAAAGCTTCAACATTATTCCAGCCAACTTGCTAGAAGGTATGTTGTCATCACCTAAATTAGATTGTTAGGCCAATAGTGTGTTCAGCACAACTTATTATGAAAAGACTGTCTTATTAGTGAATAGTGAATGTATGGTAGTATCAGATTCCAGATGCTTGAGGAACTAATATTTCTCCAAGTGCTTTGTCTTTGCTCCCTCAATTCCACAAAAGGTGGAATGACAAGCCGCCAAAGGTAGCTTCTTCAAACTAGGCTTCCACAATTGGACTCCCACGGAAGTCCATCCATGACGAATTGCTGAACTTAACATATGTGCTTCCAGGGCGTAGAAGTCGAATATTTTGGGTTTTATTGTCAGATATATCCATGTCAGTACACAAAAGATCAACACTATCATCTCAAAATGCCACTCGACCAACATTTATAGAGGTAATGCATTTGATACAGTTAGTCTGCATGGTTACCTCAACTGGCCGCCTGAGTCTTCCTAGTCTTCCAGTGGTATTCAACACCTTCAATGCGGATATCGCAGTAATGATTCCCAGTGCACCATCATACATTCCAGCATCAATAACAGTGTCCTGTTTGAAACAAAGAGCCGTTAATTTCTGTCTTCCTGATATAAGTAGGTGTAGGTCATACTGTAAATTATAATATTTTACTGTAGAAACACAAGTACTGTAATTGCTTCACCAAATGAGAGCCAATTAACAAAGCCTTCTCACTTGGATTCATCCCTTCAATTCTACCATGCAATTTGCCCATTTGGTCCACCCACCTGAAAAGGAGAATTATTGTTCTTCGTTGGTGAGAGAGAAGATTTACGTAGAAGCAGGCAAGAAATGTTTCGATTATAATCATTTTGTAGTTTATTTATTATCTTCTTAATAATAGAGAATTTTAAATAAATTTCGTATGATGGGTCAATCCAAAACTCCACCAAGTTGTGCCCAAAATTGATTTTGGGCTTTTGAGTTTTGACTAACACTCAAGCTGCCAAACAAGATCCATTTCAAGAGTGTGGGGATCTTTACGCAAATGGCATCAATAGATGCTACGTAACGAATAAATGTTTGCACTGTGTTTATGATTTTTTTTTAGCACTTTTTGGAAATAGAATAATTTTCATTCCTCGTACTCTCTTCACCTGGTGATATCAATTGTTCATTTTAGACAGTTGTGGACATTTTTTTTTTTTTTTTTATAACCGTGGATGTTCGGGCCAGTTTGCTCGCACTTCGACTAATCTCACGGGACCCTAAAGTTTACGACTGAGTACTCACCTAATTGACCCTTAGGGGATTCGAATTGGTGACCATTGAAGAGTAAACACAAGGGAAGACCAATTGAACAACCCTAAAGGTTAGTTTTGGACATTTTATAAACTAAATCGTTTCAATATTCAAACCAAACCATAATATGCAGTATTGTTCGATTTTAAACTATGATTTGAATATTCTTGGAATCTCGAAATTTCTTCAATTTACACAATTTTTAAGAACACGTGAACATCATTAATTATGAAATACAACGTAGCTGAATTACCAATTAAGCCCCCCCAATTTTCTAAAATTCATTGTACTTCTCAAATTTATTTTTAACCATACATTTTATGATATCCATAGTTTTTATAAATTTTGCAATCATACGTTTCATCAACTTTTATCAGATCTATTGAAAATCTAATTTTTAGCTTTATCAAACATAGGCTAAAAGAGAAAATGCAGTGCAGACAATTCTTTTAGGCTTTGTGATAATGAGACGTTTGGTTGTCTGGTTTGCAATAGGAAAAAAAAATAAAAAATCAGAATGTTAGTTTGGTTATTCAAAAGCTAAAATGCACTGTGTAGCATGTAATATTTAATTTATTAAATATCTATAAGTTTGGTTGGCACAAAATCCAACTGAAATTCTTATCATTAAGTAGGTGAAGTTTTTTTTTTTTTTGGCCTTAACCTTCAAAGTATTGTTTAGAAATACTACAAAGGTTCGATTTTAAACGATTTTTTTTAATGATAGAAACCCAAAAACGTTAATTGGTCCACGTAGATATAAATCTACAGTTCCGATGCGAAGATTTGGAATGTCCATTCAATTCAACAGTCTCCATACCGTGTAAATTATTAAAAACATGTTACTTACAACTAAGGTGTAATAAGGCAAATTATTCACAAGTATGTGTAAATATTCTTGATTCACATTATGATTAAATGTGAAGCGCGATGATTGAGGGACAATTCTAAGAAAACACACCCTCTTTGATATTTTTCAAATAAAAAATAAAATCAACTTTTAATTATTTCTCGACTGAATATCGAACATGTCACAAAAATTGACTAAACTCTCAATAGCTCAATCTTACTTATAATTAAATTCAACAAAAGCCAACCAATGTCGTTGTCCCAATAAGAAGCCTAATCAATTTCTATCAGAAACTGAGCCCTATGTCCATGAATCTCCTGTGAAAATACAAAATAAACCTTGGACAACACATTACATGTGTCCAGAATTTGGACCTTAAATTTATCGTCTCTGTTTTCTTGCTTTTCCTCGTTGAAGAGGTTGAAACAGCCCAACTACATCAATATTGCAATCACATGAGCAAAAATTATTTTCATTTGTTGACCTCAAAATTTGATCAAACTTCTTGATCGACATATACGTGATCTTTCACAAAAACGAAACTAGGTTAGCGAGTATGGCCATCGGGGTCTTGGAGTATATATATAGGTGATATGCCACATTAGATGTCTCGTCTGTGTCAAGTGTCATGTCATTATCAATTTGTATAATTAGTTTGTGACGTGACAGAAGCTTGTAGAAAATAACAAAATTTTACAAAAACTAACATGTTTCGATCACGAATATCAAGAAAGAAAGAAAAAATTTCAACACTCTTTATTATAATTATTTTCAACTAATTACCATACGACTTGCAATTCATATTTAAAGCAATTATTAAAATTTGGATAACGAATAATTCTAAACGGAATTAAAATTACCCAAAAAAGTGAAAAACGCATTTTCGGAGCTCCAAACGATGGAATTTGGCCGAAAAATGTCGAACGTCAAGGCAAAGCCAGTGTTTTGCTTATTGTGACATTTCCACCCAAAATTTTCTAAAAATAGACATTCTGAAAAATTACGTCTTTTGACGTCGGTCTCACTTCTCCATGGAATCTTCTTCCTTTAGTTATTGCATCAGCTTGGCATGATAGCTATGACTTCGCGTTGATCTCAAAAATAGATCATTGTTACTTAGCACACTACTGTGCGACCCTGTCTCATCATGTTTTACGTCCCGTAAAATATTGATATAACATTATTGACATTTTTCTTGATTATTCTCTTAAGTTCACTCGTACTAATTCATAAATACTATTACTACGGACGACTTTCGTAGTCTGAAAATCCAAAAATTAGAATTAAACGTGCTCAATAATGCTAGCTTTTCAGCAAATGCCAAATGCAATGCTGATTCCCTAACATTTCTAACACGAAACCTCTTGCTAGTTGTAACCATAAACTTGGTATATATTTCTTACAAGAAAATAATTAGAACCTCTGCAAAGTATCTCGTGACTGTTAAGATAACATCAGTTTTGATTCTTGGTTTCATCATAAAGACGTGTAAAGTTTTGGGTACAAGAAAGAATGAAATAAAATACAAGAAAAGTGAAAACATTAAATTAAATAGAAGGGAGAAAGGGTCAAAAAAAGTTGATGACCTGCTTTTCTGTTAGGACATCTGTTAACCTGTCACCTTTGGCCATTTTTTACTTTTTATGATGTCAAATGAATCTGGTCCCCGATTTGATGATGCAGATAAAAATCAGATTTTTAATAAATTTTCATAAAAATTGATGAAATATGTAGATGAAGAATTGTGGGTCCCATAAAATATGTGATCAAATTGTTAACGTTGACTTGAGATTAAAATCCAATAATAATCTAACCAAACAAGGGCTTGTATGTGAATAAATTATCGAGTTTTAGTAAGCAAATTCTATATCGAGTCCTATGATCCTATCTATCACTCAGTCGTTATTCATGGCCTAGGCGGAGTGGGAATAGCATTAGAATTAGCGGTTAGGGATAGTTTCAACTATATTAACTGTCTGAATTGAGGTAGTGTCCTCGTTGTGCAAAGAAAATTATCTATGCCTAAGAGTATAATTTAATTCTATATGACTTACTACTGCCTCTTTTATATTTCACAAATGAAAAAGAACATCACTAAAGATACAGAAAAAATCAACAGAAAATACTCTTGAAAGAACAAAAAAAAAGGCTAATACGGTGCTTCCACGTCAGTACCTGTTCAAATTCTGTCAAAAAGGTAATCTTGAGGGGTTGCTCAATTGGTTAAGTTTTGAGTTTGCTCCTCAATGATCACTAATTCGAGTCCTCTCAGGCCACTAAGGTGAGTACTCGACCGTAAACTTCAGGGCCCCGTGAGATTTAGTCGAGGTGCGCTCAAGCTGGCCTGGACATCCACGGTTATAAAAAAAAAAATTCTGTCAAAAAGTTCTGTACCTGTTGGTTTATTGAATGAAAAATTGAATACGGGTAAAGTAATGAGAACGAAAAGAATTCTTGGATCGTATGAAAACTTTTCTTAACTTTCAATTCGATAATTATATTTTTCAACCAAACTCCATTCTACCAGTCAGGCCGGTTGGTCTCAACAACCTATATTATTACAAACTTAAATATGAAGCTATTACATAGCCATCAAGACTTTATAAAATGATAATTATGAACATGCCATAAAAGTAAAATTTAGAGACTTTAATTACCCAAAAATACTTTTTACAAATTGTCAAACTTGTTAGATCCTAAAGTACAAAGTTGGTTTAAATAATGTACGTGTTCTCGCCCTCAATTAAAATAAATGGACATTTAAAGAGGGCCAATTTGTCACAATTAGGGTGTTGTTTGTATGATTTTATTTGTTATATACATTCTTTTACTTTTCAGTTACGCCCTCTTCTTTCCATGTTCATCACCGTTAGCTCTCCTTCTCCATATATATATATGTACACAACTCTTTTTCTCTTTCACAATCAAACTACAGACATGACAGCCACACGAAAAGCTCTTGTCTTATTTATGATTATTATGTTTATGGCAATTCACGTGCATGGACATAATTCTTCGCCCGACCATGACCGATTACGGTTCCGAACTTCACTTATTCAACGCAATTCAGTACTATCTAATCCTCCTTCCCCTACGGCTGCACCTGGTAAACCAAGTCCATTGGTGTATGACGTGACATCATACGGTGCAGACCCGTCGGGGGTATCAGATAGTACAGAAGCACTTCTTGCAGCAATATCAGATGCACTTAATGGTCCAAGCAATGGATTTTTGTTCGAGGGAATAGTTAATCTTGGTGGTGCACAGATTAATCTTCAAGGTGGGAATTACTTGATCAGCCGTCCGTTACAATTTCCGGTAGCCGGAAGAGGTAATCTAGTGGTAAGTCTTTTCATGCTCGTCATTAAAAGTGAAATTTCTAGATGCATCTCAGCCTATGAAATTATTATTATTTTTTTCGTTTGATTAATTAATTTTCTTATTTTCATCGACAGAAAGTAGGTTGAGTTGGGAAAATTTCAACGAGGAAATCTTTATATACTATCGTCAGTCTTTATCATGCAAACTAGAAGGAAAAAAATTGAAATAAGTTTGACATTCTTGCCCAAATTGTAACTGGTTTTAACAATTTTCTGGTAATATATTTTACAAATGTTAAATTAATGGCAGGCTTGCCTTTCGAGTTTTGACTAAGCCCAAAATCAAACGAATTGACCTTTATTTTTCTGTTCTAAATAGCATGCTGCTTACCTAAATTCAACTGCTCCATTGAATGTAGCCGTACATTTTCATTGTTCGTGATTAAAATATGATGATCTATTGACAGATACATGGAGGAACATTAAAGGCATCGAACGATTTCCCAGTCGACGGCTATTTGATTGATTTATCACCTTCCTCGAACAATGGATCATCATCGGCATATAACTATGAGTTTATAACGCTAAGAGACCTGTTGTTGGACTCAAATTATAGGGGCGGAGGCATTCAAGTTGTGAATTCTCTTAGGATTAGCATTGACAATTGCTATGTCACCCATTTTACATCGAATGGTATCCTAGTCCGAAGCGGTCATGAAACATACATTCGGAGCTCGTATCTTGGCCAACACATTACAGCAGGAGGAGATCCAGGCGAAAGAAACTTCTCCGGGACGGCAATAAACTTGATGGGCAACGACAATTCTGTCACAGACGTCATAATTTTTTCTGCCGCCATTGGAATCATGGTTTCTGGTCAAGCCAATACACTTTCCGGGATACATTGTTACAATAAGGCAACCGGATTTGGCGGTACTGGTATCTATCTGAAATTGCCAGGATTAACTCAAACTCGCATTGTGAATTCCTACCTTGACTTCACTGGTATCGTTGCTGAAGATCCAGTCCAACTCCACATATCAAGTAGCTTTTTCTTAGGTGACGCATACATTCTTTTGAAATCTATAAACGGCGTGATGAACGGAGTAAACATAGTGGACAACATGTTTGCCGGATCTGATAAAGGGATCGATATCGTTCAGTTGGATCAACAGAATGGGGCATTCAAAGAGGTTGATCAAGTTGTTATAGATCGTAACAATGTGAGAGGAATGAAGCTGAAAGCGACAGTAGGAAGACAAAGTGTACAAGGAAATGGTAGCTCATGGATTGCGGACTTGAATTCAATTTTCGTGTTTCCTAACCTTATTAAACGGGTACAATACACATTCATCGCAACGGGGAATTCCTTTCCAAATCATGCTCTGCGAAATGTATCGAATAACCAAGTTGTGATTCAGTCGGACGTGGCTGTTCCAGCAACCGTTTTCGTTACAGCGGATCAAGGAAATTCCTTCTGAAGTTAACTAACTAACAATACTCTTTTACTTAATTGATTTTTCCAAAAGTTGAAAGATTATTGATTTTACTTCCCATTAATTAATTCCAGTCTCCTGTGTAAGGTGGAGATTAGAAAAAAGTCAATTTAATGCAAAAGATATTTTCATCTGCCTGCCGTGCAAATTAGACCAACTGCTATTTTTACTTTTATGTTTGTTGAATTGAATTGCACTTTCGATTTGAGATGTGACCAGTGACCCTAACTACAAGTGTAACATAATGCAAAGGTAAATTAATGAGTAGGGATGGCAGGGGCTAGTCAGGTGTTATCGAGCAGGGACAAAGGCTAAATCGTTTGCCTTCAGGTCGAGGATGAGAAACATGGACCATGATCCGGCCCCGTCCAACCTTCCTGTAAGCAAAGATTGGGGCAGGAATGGGGGATTAAAATCTTCAGTGCAACAGTGGTCCGGGAAGGTCGTCCTGCCCCGTTGCAATCCCTGTCAACGTGTTGGATTGGGTGATTGGTGGGTTAGTTTTGATAGCTGCATGCCGTTAATTAGGTGAATATTAGTTAACTTTTAAAGTCATCATCCACGTGGTTGCAAATATGTTGGTAATTCTCGCCAACTAGAAGCAAATTTAGCCAAATGCAATTACTTGAAAATGACGTCCAACGACAGTTTATTCTTATCAACACATTAGGCTTTTCCAAAATTATTACATGACATTTATTCAACTTATTCACATTTGTATTCATTAATTTTTTAGTGATTTAAGTCTTCACAATTGCCAAAAAGATGCGTATGCTTAATTTGTTATTGTTGCGCTTTTAAGATAATCAGTTGAGGAAAAAATTTCATTTAGAATAATGTTATTTGTAATCACTCACTGCGACAATCGTCCTATATGTCACACACATCTTCTATATAGTATTATAGATATTTAATTCAAATTGTAGTACATTCAGAAATTTTATATTTATATGGGGTATATATGATTTTTTTCCTTTATTAAAAGAGGAAATTACACACATCCCTATCTTTCAAATTCCAATTTCAAAAATCAGATGCAATGTTAATTTATTCAAAATTCAGATTATAATTAAAATTTTTAATATTAATAATAATATTATAAAATTAATTTAATTTACATACCCACCCTCACAAACCCAAATCAATTTCAAAACAAAAATCATTTCCATTTTCCTTCCTCCTCTACTCTCTCTCTCTACCCACTCTCGCCGGCGAATCTCTCTACCCACCCTCACTGGCGACGCCTTCCCTCTCTGTCGGCAGCCCAACCTCGCACCACCGCCTCGATTTCGCTCCTCCACAGACGGCGCAAAGCATCCACACACATCATCCATACATTCTCTCTCTTTGTCACAAGGAAGATTACCGTTGAAAATCATCGGAGTGCCACAGTGTGCGACGCCTGTGAGCATCGCACTGTGAGGTGGTTTACTTCATCTAATTTGAATCAATTCACAATTGCTTGAACCATTGCTATCAAATTTATGTGCGACGAAACAACCCCTTTGCTCACTCTGGTGGTGCGGAAGAATATACCAGACTGCCATGGGCTTCGACACTCATAGGTTGTGACGCTATACCATAGCCACCGTAATATTTTTGTGGTGGTTTCTTCCTTCGATCTGCTGCTTTACTGGAGTTTTGGGTGTTTTTATTGGTGATTCTTAGCGTTATGAAAATAATAGTGGTGATGGTGCAGATTTTGGATTTTTTTTTTTTTTTGCGGTGGTCATGCATTGATTTTGTTGGTGGTGGCCGTGTTACTGGTTTTGTAGTTGTGGTTTGTTGGTTGGTGATGGCGGCGGCGGTGTTGGTGATGGTTGGTTGGTGAGGTGGTTTTGCGGTGGATCTGGCGCTGTTGGCGAATCTGCAGTAACTACGATTTGGCCGTGAATGATTTGTGTGGTTGTTGGCGATGGTGGTGGGTCTAATGGAGATGTTGGATCTGGCGGTGGAGGTGAGTTTTGTGATCACGGATGGTGGTCTTGGTCATGATGCTAGTGTTGGTTCAGGTGGTGCTATTGTTGGTGGTGGTAATGGCGGTTGCGGTGGTGCGTTTTGTTGATGGTTTTCCAATTTGTAGTATTTTGGATATGGTTTTTCCGGTACAGCGACGATATTTGAATTTGGTGGCACGAGATGAGATTTCGACCAAATATGTATTGGTTGTGACCGTTTGTGACCGGTACCGTTTGTGACCTGTTATGACCGATTGTGACCAGTTAATTGTGACTCGTTGTGACCAATTGTGACCGATTATGACTTGAAATTCTGACCGATTGGAGAGGTCGCCAGAGTGATCGCCGGAACATTCGTCGGAGTAGAAGGGGTAGGGAGATGATAGAGAGTAGAGAGAAAATGATTTGTATTTGATATTTAATAAATAGGGATAATTGTATTATATTATAATTAAAAATATTTAATAAATTGATTTAACACCTGATTTTTGAAAAGATTTTTTAAGTTTGTTATTTATGAAATGTGATCTTTAAAACAATGAATTATGTATTGTTCCCTTATTAAAAACAATAGCCCAAGTGTAACTGTCCAACGCTATTTGATTACTAGCCCAACAAATAATCAACTAAGTCCAATAGCCAAAATACAGCTGCCCAACACTATGCAATTGATAGAAGCCCAAATCAGTGGCCCAACAATACCACAACTCAATTTCATGGCCCAACAACACCACAACCCAGTTTCAACCAAAACACCCACAATTCACCTTCAGTCTCCACAGAGGAAGAAGAAGCCGATTGTAACCTGAAATCAAAAAATCAATTGAAGGTGTAGAATCACCAACCCAACACCGAAGAATCCGGCAAAGCAACAATGAGACGCCAGAAATTTGCTGCGACCAAGAATCGACAGCCGAACTGAGCAGAAAAACCGTGACCAACACCACTAGGCGTCGCGAACCGAGAGGCGCGACGCGAGACGAAGGCAGAGACTTGAACTTCCAACTGTAATTTTCGTGACCAAGATCACGCGCACGAGTAAGTGGATTAGGGCTCTGATACCATGACAATAATATGCGGAATTAAATTTCTCGTTTATATTCCCTTCTTTATATTTTTGGATACAAATTGTACATCTATTGTTTACAAGGAAATATCTAATTAGCCATAAGTAAATAATATTCTAATAATATACTAATAAATCTGACGTTAGAGATTCAAATTTTGTTTATGCAGAAATGGCGGAAAATGTGGTGATGGTAAAAAATGAACCTTCCACCAACCCCTGTTGCACTGAGGTAACTTCTTTGTTTTTCTCACTTTTGCTTTTATTTTATGTACTAGATATCCAAGTAATGAAATTATTGGCATTCTTTTTGTATTGTGGTGTGTGTGTTTGCAGTGGAAAAGGCAGTACTTAAGGCTTCAGGAGAAGTACTCAAAGCTTGAACTTCGTCGAAATGCTCTTCGAGAAGGCATCTCCATGGTCAATGAAAAATTTGATTTGATTGAAGAAGAAAATAAAGTTCTTAAACAAGGTAAAAATCAATGTTTATCTTCGCTCTTCATTTGCATTTTTTGTTAATTTTTAAATGTGTAATGTCAAATAATAATTCGGTTCTTGAAATTTTTGAAATGTTTAGGAGTTAAAAAAAGGGTAGCAGAAAATATAAGATGCCAGTCTGGTGGAGATTGTGTAAAGAACAAAATAACTTAAATTTGGTATAGAAAAAATGACTAAAATTTTTAATAAAACGTAATATCACTTCTCTTTTCTCCAGCATTAGAGGGTCTGAAACTGCAGGCTAGAAAGGAGAAAGATGAGAAAGAAAAAGAATCTTCAATGCGGGTTTCTCTGGAGAGTGAGGTCCATGCTCTAAAGGCTGAGTTACTTTCATTACGGCAGAATGGTAATGCAGCAACTCAAGAGGCAGATGGGGCAGCATTGCAACCTCAAAAAAGTCTTGCTGATGCAGAGACAGAGATGAGCCGACTTAAGGAACTTCTGGACAAAGAGATGGTTAGAGCTGATTTGGAGAAAAAGAATGCTGAGATGGAGAAGAAGAAAGCTGCCGATGCTTTGAAGAAAATAAATGCGGAAAAAACGAAGGTTATTAATGCAAAGAAGCTAGCTGATATTGAAAGGAAAAAAGCCGAGGAAATTAGACTTCAGCGGGATAAATTAAAAACTGAAATTAATGAAGCAAAATCAAAGTTGGCATCCGAGATGTCTAAAACTGAAGAAGCAAATAAGAAAGTTGAGTCAGAGAGACAAAACTCAATTCAAGAAAGAAAACGTGCAGATTTGGCAATGGCCAAAGCTGAAGAGCTAAGGAAACTTGCGGAAATGAATTTGAAGAAGGCCATGGATGAAAAGGGTAGAATGCAGCAATTGTCTCAAACATTGGTAAAGGAAAGGAAAAAGGCTGAAAAACTAGAGAAGGGCTTATATGAACATATGTCCTCCAGGACGTTGGTTATGGCTCCCTTTAACCTCTCTGAGAGGCAAATAACGGCTAGAAATGTAGAAGGAAAAGGTGAGCATTGTTTGGAAACAATGAAGTCAAGATGTTTAATGTATGAAGAATTGGAGAAAAAACTTGTGGAGAGAGATCATACCATTACCTGGGAAAAAAAGCGAGCAGATTCAGAGATGAAGAAAGCAGAAAAACAGAGGAAAATTGCTGAAGCACATAAAAAAGAGGCCATAAATGAAAAGCTTAGAGTCAATCAACTAACTCGAGAATTAGAAGACAATAAGCAAAGGATAGAGCAATTACAGAAGGAGTTGCAGGAACTTGTTCCTTGTAGAAAATTTGCCAATTCTCTGCTTTCTGAATATAGTAAGGTGATTTCTGAAACTGCTACTACAAAACTGTTAAAGAAACAGCTGAAGTTTGAAAAGATGCTTGTAAAGCATGCCAAAAAAGTTGCAAGGGCTGAAATAGGTCGCAGTAATATGCTACGCCAGGAATTATTTCAACTAAAGCAGGAGTCTCTTCAATTCCAACAGCGCTTGGATGCATTGAATGAAAGTTTCCTACAAAGCAATGAAGGTATAGATGAAGTGGAAAAGGTTGGTTTCCTTTTACCATAATTTTAATCTTCATTTCTTTTGAAATTTAGGGTATTTTCTTGTAATAAGTAGCTCAATTGTGTTTATTAACTGCTAGTATATTCAAGGGTGCTGTCCAAGGAGGGCTGCCGACTTAAAACCCATCCCTCTTATAGCCCCTCTTCTACTGCAGGGTAAAATTCACAAAAATGAAATTCGTCTCAGCTACCTGACTCTGCCTGACATATAAATTATTTTGCTATTTTATATAAAATTATTCTTTAGAGGCTTCGATTCGTGAGTGTACGTAAACCTTTGAAGGATATTTTCGTTTAATAAGCTAGTGGAATTGCTGAAAGAAGATTTTCATGTACTAATAAGCTTTAGAAATTGATGGTTTCTGCATTTATCATTGTGAAGGCATGCTAGGATTTTTATATGTGCATAATACATCTATTTTAGTTGGGAGTGCTTATTTTAATTATTAGATATTGAATCAGTTTTTTCAAATTGGATTTGTTTATGAAGCTAATCACTAAATTATGTGCTTTCTGTCTTGATTACGTGAAAAATACAAAGAAGAGAAATTAGAGAAAATAACATACTTATGCTTTTTCCTTAAAAAATCTGCAATTCGTCTGTTACAAAATTCATTTAAGGGTCTCTCAGCAGATGCACAATAATCCCTTCTATGTGATTTTTTTTTTCAAAATCCCCCAGATTGACTAGACGAAATTCATATGTAAAATTTTTTATCTCATTATCTTTGTTGTGTTTTGTTTTGCACCCTGGAATCTTCTTGTTGGTAATGTACAATTACAGACATTAAGACGATGTTTCATAGTAATTTAGTGAGATTTGTTAGCCCGGTGGTAATGTGATGCATGAGGAAGTAAAATTGTGAAGCATTATTTGGATTGATTATTGATGGCATCTTAACATTGTCTGTTGCACCTCAGATTTTATTACAATGACAATTGATCTGTCATATGGATTGGCTGGCAAGAAACAAAGTGCTGCGATATAATTGTGTAGAAAACATTAGCACGATGAAATCAAAAGAGGATAATTGTTATGTCACTTCAATCCTGGACACTCATTGTTTTGCACTTCAATCTTGTTATCCAGTGTAGGACAGTGTATTAAGTTGACCGTCTTCAGAAGCTATGGTCATTAACATTTTATTGTGGGTATTTGGCTGCTTTTGATTAATTTATTGTCTTTTTTTTTTTCAAGTATTTTATGTGTATTTCACAAATTTCGAACAGATACGTCTAACAAGAATGTTGTCAATTGTCATCTCTTTTCTTTATTATCATGCATCATTCATTTTTTTAATGCACAACCACACATTCGATATCAACTCAGATGCCCTGGAATCACTTGTGAATGCAGAGGATTCAAAGAGTTTTATCGTTTTTCAATCTATATGCATCCAAGCTTATGAAAATTACTAGTATTAGGTAGGCTCATGCATACAAAGGCTTACAAAGGTATATTGCATAGGAGTTTGTGACTTTTTCTAAATTTTATCCCGCCCTAGCTTCTGATTCTAGTTCCACCTCTGAGTATAACAATTGTGTTTGTTGTTCTAGTTACTTTTAACTCCTGCTAGTGGATTTTAATAAGAATGTGTCAGATGGTTGGTCAGAGTAGAAATAAATCACAAATCGGCATTGCAACTTGAACTTCCTCTGTTTATGTTTGGCATGAAGTGAAGTGATAGCACCTGAACCCCCCTTTTTTTTTTCTTTTTTTCCCCCCGGTATGTCATGAATCTTGAGGTTGTATGCATACTTTAATTTGTAGTACTTAGCCTTTCTTCTCACTCTTTCTAATAATACTTAATTAGAAATATTTTGGTTTTTGAATGAGAATTAGATCGTTTTGTTACTGAAGGAGGTGATTGTATTTTACAGATTGGCAACTTGAGCTTCACAAGAAAGCATATTGGGTGGAACCCCTATCAGATGCAATATGATGATAAAACTGAGATTGTTACTAAGCCTAGCTCCGCGGCCAGCACACCGGTGTTGGGTTCTGACCCATTGAAGCAAAACATAGAACACACTACTTCCTTGCGTCCTCTTTATGTATCAGGTATAGATTCTAAATTGGAGCCTCTGTGTAGAGTTTCCAACAGAAAAATGTTACAGAATTCTGCCATAAATTCCAGTTCGGCATCGTTTTCTGATGGACCATTCGTGGGCTCACAGGACAGAGGTGATATTACTTTCACCTCATCAGCTAAACTATCAGAGTATACATCAAATGATTCAATCCTGGAACCAACTATATCCAGATTGTCTGGTGAGACAAGAAAAAGGTACAATCCGAACTTTGCTGCAATAGCGGAAGACAGTGTTAGGAGTCCTATTAAAGGCAATGATGCTGAAAGGGGAGCTGGGGATTGTAAGAAGAGGAAAAGAATTTTTGAAGCGGTTGAGTCCATTGAAAATTTGTATTCTAAGGGTCAGAAGTTGCATCAGGAGGTATCTGAGAAACTCTCTTTACTTCATCGTATACTCAGTGGTCAAAGGGATGAACCTATAGAGGAGAACCTGCAAGGAAATTCTTACGGAAAGCGTGTTAGACGTCACAAGAAGAGAAAATCTTCTTACGAGGAAGCAATAGCTATCCATCCTGTTCATGATGCCGGCAAGGGAAAGAGCGTGGTCGATAATTTAGAAATTAGAGATTTTGATGTCTGTATGCATGATTCACTGCCTGTCTATAATCTAGAACAAGCTGATCGAGATCGTAAGGACGGAATGGATAACTTCTTAATAAACAATCAATATGTACCTCTAGGTTTTGAAGAGCTGGCAAATCATGACCATATGAAGTTGCTTGACTTAGATAATGACATTGATGAAAAATCTTACCGTGCAGCTATTGCAACACCTCTATCCCCCACTTTACCCGAGATTGAGTTTCAGGAAAATGGGGCACTTGAAGTAGATAATTCTAAGATGCTGGTGGAAGAGAGTTTGTATAAGGGATTATCACATTTGAAGGATAATCTGGCACCAAGTTGTAACGTTGATGCCCTTGATGTGGAAATGGATTCCAATAAGTTGAAAAATGATGGCTTTTGCATTTCCAAATTGCAGTCAAATGAATATCATGTTGATGCATCAAAAAATCTAACTGGCAATGAAAAAGGTGACTTGGATGTTGCTCATGTGAGCAATGCTTGTCACCAGATCAACGTTTTGAGTGGGAAGTTGGGGATATCAGTTAAATCTAATTGTGGAAACAAGTCAATGGTATTTAGTGAAAACATGGCTGCGTCCGCATGTGACAATGGTCCAAAATATTGTGTTGTTTTTTCTGATAACAATGACTACAGCAGCATTTGTAGGATATTACAGACTATCAACTGTTATATGTCTCAGTACTCTCTGCTCTTTTCAGCAGATTCTTTCCTCCCGAGTATTGTGCTTGCTCGTTTGCAGGCTGAAAGTCTTTCTTCTAAGTAAGTGACTTGTCATAAGTTGGTAGACAACACATTTAATTACTTTGATGTTTCCAAATGCTATGTTGAGTTAGTTGTGATCTGTGGATCAAAATCATTTTGGCCCACCTTTTGTAACAGTTTTACATAGAAGTTTCATATTCATGAATACTTTATTCATTATGTAAATTCATTGAGTCCATAAATTTATTAACAAATCCTGCAAAACATCCTCATTTTGTATACGATACTTCAGTGATATGCTTTTACAAGTTCTTCTTGGTGACCACTTCTCATGTTTTTGTCAACCTCACTGGCACATTGTTTGATGTTCTGTTTTACAAGGCCACAAATAAGAAGTTGATTAATTTTTCTTCCCTTTCTTTTCTCTTTCCAGGGAGAAGGTCTCCGTGTTCTTCTCATTGTTATTGCATAGAATTTCGGAGTGTGAAATGAAAAACTCCATACACTTGGTTAGCAATGATTCAGTGGCCTCCTTGGATACTTTTTCTGAACGCCTTCTTGCAGGTGTGTGATCTTGTCTTAGGATTCTTAAATTTCTTGATCTTGTGACATTATTTCATTCTTCTAGTTCATACTAATTAGATTTATGGTTTCCATACAGTGCTGTCAGATGTGGACTTAAGAAGGATATTTATGGAATCATGTAACTTATTTGAACTGCTTGATCTCATCGAGGATTTCCTTTTACAGAGAAAAGTTCTGGTCTGTGGTGATTTATCTTCTGAGTCAATGCTTGAATGCGTTCCAGAAATGAACCCTGTTATAAATGATAATGTCAAAATGTCTGTTGAAGCTGCTTCATCTCATTTATTGGTTGCTGGTGCCATTTTATTAGCATCATTATGTAAGGCGGTTGACCACATTGGTTTTGTTTGTGAGACTTCATGCAATATTTTAATGATGGTGAAATTTGACTCTTCAGTGTTGCTGACTATTCTTCATATCTTTGCCCATCTATGTGGTTCCAAATATTTTACCATAGATCAGTACAGTGTTGCGATGACAGTTGTAAAATCTTTGGTTGTGTTACTTGAGAAGCAGAATCATTCAACTGTTTCCACTTTTTCTCAATCCCTAGTCGACACTCCATCTAAAATCTGGTCATGTAGCAAGTGCCCATTTTCTGAGGGTTCTATTTCTATGGATGATGTTGCATCACTGCTGTTGGATAAGCTACAGAAGTATGCTGGAGCTTGTGTTTGGCCAGAGGATTCGTTTGAATTAGTGAATTTGTTAGTTCCTGAATCATGGTTCCCCAAGGAGAAAGCTGAAGAAGTTTCAATCCATGGAGAGCCCGTTCTCTCAAGTTCAATTTCTGATGAAGTTTTACGCAACTCCATTGATATTCTTTCATTATTTGAGCTCATAGCTTTTTCCATGGTAAGAATCCTCCCTCCCTTTCTNGATATCTTTTTCCATGGTAAGAATCCTCCCTCCCTTTCTTCTGGAAATCCTTTTTATTATCTTGAAGTTGTTAAGGTAGTTCGGCATCTTCTGAAATTTACCTGGGCTATGATAAAATTGTCATTGTTGTTTCTAATAAGGATTGTACTTCATGAAATTTACTGTATTCCAAATTTTCCTAATTTTCCTGCTATAATTGAACTTGATTTTAGGTCTTGTATTTTTCTGGTGTGTAAAATTTGAACTTTCAATGGTATCTTCTTCGAATTTTAGTCTTCTCATTGTTTATCAGGAGTGTTGTACATTCACAAAGGAATATACAATTCAGGATTAGGAATTAAATAAATTCACTTTTGTAAGATGGTACTGTCGGTGTTGCGAAACAAAAAAGATTTTGGAAGGATCAAAGGACAAGATAAAATAACGTGCAAGTGCTCACGAAAGGGCATGCAAGATTTCTGTTAGGTTTTGATGTTTTTCAGTGGGACTCCTGCGGGTAATAAGAAGCTTAAAATATGAAGCCCCCTCCTTTTTTTTTTTTTTTTTTTGATTTCTTAGCTGCCTTGGCCTTGTTGCAGTTGCCAGGAGAATTTTATGCATAAATTTATGGCTTGCTTGAGAGAAGTTGATCTTCATTCTTTCTCCCTCTCTTGAACTGGTGATGGAATCATTGAACATTTATATCAATAACTATAGTGAGAATTAAAACTGAATTCAAATGAATGGATTCTGACGCTTTGAATGAAAAGATGGTGGTGCACAGTAATGATTCAGATGCCGTATTTTTGTTCTTTGGTACACATTTTGAAACTTCATGCATGAAAGTTAAAATTAGAAGATTTTCCTCGCGACGGACCTTTTGCTTTAAGGTGTAGTATGCCTTGTATTCTTTTCTTGTTTGTGTGTGCACCTGCGTGTGCGTGTTAAGGTTCACATGGATTTAGGGAGTGTGTTACTTGGTTTGCTGATGACCTTGAACAAAATTTGTGATTTGCCATGCTGCCTTAAAATATATCAGGCCTATTATTTATCTCTTTTACCATATAGGTGTTCATGATTTAGGGAAATGTTGCTTGGCAAGCTGATATGATTCTTTGAATTAAATTTCACTTCTATTTCATTTTCCTACTTCTTTCTTTGGTGGATCGGTTGATCCCATACTTTTTCCTTTTTTCTTTTTAGTTGAAAGGGGTAGTTGGTGGGACCGTGGGATTAGGCATACATAATTCCGTATGGAGCAAAAAGTTAATATTTTCATCACAATTCTTTGGTTCTTAAGATTGTAATGAGTACTTTATTAATTATGCATACCTTTGAAAATGATACATGTCTAACTATATTTTTCTCTGTGTATGTGCTAGGTGGATTTTTTTGGTTCTTACAATTGCCATTTTTACTTTCCTTTCTTATGCATACCTTTAAAATGATGCGTGTTTCACTATGTGCCTATTTTCTCTCTTGATATGCAGGGCTGGGATTGGACGTTTGACAACATTGTCTGTCAACTATGGGTATTGTTAGAAGCACGTGTCCTGGGATGTTTTTCTATTGCTATCATCACACTTCTTGGTCAGCTTGGGAGGTATTTTGTTACATGCGAGTGTTAACACGCAGATATTATTGATTATGTGCTAATGCATGCATCATGATTGCGAAGGGTTATTTCCATATCTTGGTCGGTGAACCATAAATTCAGATTCTAAAATTTATGCATCATATGCTGCGTACAGTGCTAATTGTCGTCGGTTATAAATTCCTACACCTATATCCCTACATACCACTAACCAGTAACCACCATCTTGCTCTCCCCTATCACTCTATCCAAATCCCTCCTCTTTTACCTGATTACTATATATATTCAGCTTACATTATTGAAATCCTCAAACATAACCCGGCCCCTACTGTAAGCTACCTCCCGTAAATTCATTTGAACGAAATATCCTCGATACGAGATGTGTGGATTACTATGTAGGCATGGTTAAAGGTGCTTAAGAAGATCCCTTTTTTTCCGACAGCGCTTAAGAAAGACATTTAATTTGTTAGCGGCAAAGCGATTTCTAATGAACGTTGTGGTGGTATTGAGAATGTTGTCCTGTCCATTGTTAGTCAACCATGCTTCTTTTCATTATGTTGTCCTTTATGGGAGTTATCATTTCATGCTATGCATCTTATTGAAATATTTATTTACTTGATTACTACCATGCAGGCTTGGAGTCAATACTCGTGGATACGAGGACACTGGAGTTGAGAAATTGAGAAGCTGGCTGTCTTCATTTTTTTGCAGCGCTTCTGATAAATTGAGCATTTCCGTTCAATTTGCAACAGTAAATGCTTTATTTGGTGTTATTCCTATCAAGTTTGAAGAACTGGTGGAAAATAAAGATGAAACTACAGCAATTTTAAGCCAATCCAATGCTGCCAACTGTGTTAGGAAGTGGTTTTTCTCACTGAGTAGTGAGCAACAGTCGTCCTTCAGGCTTCAAGCTGCTAGTATGACCAATTGCAAGACTGGGTCTCCCTCTAGGAAAGTATGTTTTGATTCAACTTTGTAATCCAATGCTTAGACTTTCTGTGGTGTCTCTGTTACTCAAGAGTAGTAGAAAATTTTGTTGATGTACCATTCTTCAGAAGAATGCTGTTTTCACCTAGTACTACAAAGTGGTCGGTGCCAGGTCATTTTGTGGACACCTTGATTTAAGCTGTCGATTATCCGAATATGGTCTGGGGATATACATATATTTTTTTTCTTTCGGCAGCTATCAGTGATTATCCCAATCTGGTTTGAGGATATACACATTTTTCTTTCGGCAGTTCATGAATATCTGAAAATAGTTTGATTTATCCTTTTCTTTCTATCATTACTTTTTCTACTACATTTTCTGACACTTGACGTTTTATCCAGTGATCCGAGGCAATTTATTCACCTGGACCTATGCTGGGAATGCATTCTATAATGGTTTTTTAAGCTGCACCAAGCTAGTATTGTGTCTAAAATCTGGGCAGTAGCTGAGTTCACACATTCTAGATTTTAAATTTATGTTCGAAAAATGTGAATTTGCAATTGATAAAATTCTCTTTCAGAAAGGAAACTGGATTACATGGTCGCCAACCAGAAACCAACTTTGGCACAATTCAACTCGTACAAGCTCAACCGATGCAATTTGTCTCATTCTTTTTCTTGATTGGTCATTTGAAAACTTCCATCCGTTATGTTTCAAAACTGCACCTTTGTGTGTGTGTGTGTGTGTGTGTGTGTGTGTGTTTCTATTTGGATTATCAGACCAATTGTATTCATAATTTAACGGTGTTAGTGTTTTTCCTCATAGCAATAGCCTTTTCATCATTCCTTCAATATTTTTGCTATAAGATAGTGTTTTGTATTGAAGCTGCTGTGGAGCTGATATTAAAAATGTTACCAGCAAAACCGTACCTTTTCGTAGTTTTACTGTGCTGCATCTTTACCAATACCATGTAGTGCAAGAATTATGCAATGACTATCAAACTCTTACCACAAAAATGAAATGGAATTTTCTCCATCAATATTTGCTTCGTAAATCCATTTTTCTTTTTGCAACACCTTCCAAGTACAAAAGAAACAAAGCTATCATTAGAGCCTGCTTAACAACCATTTTGAATAGTGAGTTTTAAGAGAATGCGTTGTTAAAAAGTAGATAATTTTTTTTGTATGCGTGTAAAATATTTTATTGTGTGAATGTGCCTGAAAATGGTCATGTAGNGGGGGGGGGGGGGGGGGGGGGGGGGGGGGGGGGGTTGTGTAGAGGAAGGGACAGAGAACCATCTTATGGCAGCCCTCTTCAAACATCTCAAGAAAACCAGCAACCAACCGATCGGCATTTTCCACCAAAATGTTGCGCTGCATACTTGCAGATTTTGCTACTGTTTGTATCTGCAGTATAATAACCAAGAAAAAAATTACTTGATGTTCTGAATATGTTCTGTACATTTCACTCACAAATTGGTATAACAGATTACGCAACAGTTCGAAGTTCAGCCTCATGCGTGCACCCTTCTATAATTCGGAGGAAAAATTACCTGTAAAATCCTTCTTTTGCAACCTGAACAACATTCTAAGTCTTTCACGACTTTCTGAAAGAACGAAGTCTTAATTTTATTAAAATATTTCCGAAGAAGCGCTAAAATCTGAACGAAGTATCTTTTGTTCCCTTTTCATTCTTGAACAGTGCTAAAATATATCTTGTTCGCAATTTGCCATGCTCCCGTTTTACTCTGTTACTTTAATCAAAAGTGAAAATACATCAATAGCATATAATTATTGCGAGGATTGGCACCATATAAGCACTATTAAATCCAGGAAGTAATAAAACTTGGACTAACATATGTTCTCTTTTCACTTGAGTTTGCAGTGGCCAGTGAGTGAGTTGTTTTATTCCAATTATGTTTACAACCTGGTAGATTTGTTTTTATCAAGTGTTAAGTAGAAGTTACTAAATACTGTAGGACAAAAGTGGACAGCAATATGCCATTTCCTTCTATTAGGGTTTCTTTGGAGTAATTATGTGAAGTGTTGATTAGCGTAAAAAATTCGATGGGATTTCACAGTGCATAGGATTACAATAGGAACCATTGCTTAGTAAATGTTTGGGAAGTGATGAATCACTTCTAGTCAAGCATACTTTTTATTCACACATTTCATACGACTCACCTCTACTACCCACTTATTATTTCTACGTTCCGTAGGACTCAAAGCTTGTAATCACTTAAATTTTAATTCAGAGCATGTTTGGGAAGTGTAATAAGTGATTATAATTATAAATATATAGAAATGATTGGTGGATAAGTGGATACTACTTGTGGGATTCTCCAAATATGTGGATAAAAAGTGACCCGAGTGTTTTTAAACATAAGCCAAACATAGATGTAATCACTTCCCAAACATGTACGTAGGTTCCTCCTCCTCTGACTAGCTTGATCTGTCTTTCTGAGTTCTTGAGCTAGAGAGTAATGAGCTGTTTTCTTTTCCTATATAAACATCCAAAGACCATTGATGATAGTAGATGGCAATCTCTCATGAGGGTGACTGCTTTTCAACTCGTCACAGGGGAACTCTATGGAGCTTCTTTCTCTCGTTTGAGTTAGTGGAAGAGAAGTAAGAGCAGTGGGTTTAAGGGTTTAATGAGACCTCCTACTTTAGGAAAAGGAATAAAACTTCTTTGCTTTAGGAACTGGACCACCTCATTGAAAAGATAATCTGCCTACTTCCCTATCTCTCTATTCCTCTATTGCCACATTTGACATTCTTCTCCACAAAAGTAGCATTTGATAGTTTCGTATCTTTTCCTATCTAAGACCATACAAATATAGCTAAAATACTACCAATAAAAGTAATCCACTTCCCAACAATTACACAGAGAGGAAGGACAATGCTCCTCTTTTAAGATAGATTGAAGTCATCACTTCGATTTGGCCACCATCAAAAAGATCATGCTTATCTACTTCATATTGCGAGATAACACAGTTTTATTAATATCTCATAAAAACGCGCATACCTTTTCCCCCACTTTCTCTTGTTGTTTCTTCACTTTCTCATGCAACCTTTTCAGCCCCCTGTCAGCTCTCAACCTTTTTTCCTAATACAAATAAATAGCATGTCAATAATTTTCAAAGCACTTATGGCATAGAAATTTGCCAAAAAAATTATGATATATGATACAAATTAAGAATATAAATATACCTTCACATAGCTAAGGCCAAGTTCCTTTCTAGTATAACCTCGGTCCAAGTTGCGCATCACATACTCATTATAATCTTTCACGATCCTCATTATTATATCCGATGTAGAGATCCCTTCAGTCCGCTTTGTCTCTTTGAATTTTCCTATGGACTTGACCTAGAAAATGAGTATAAATGATTAGCATGCTTACATCAAATGGTTAGGAGTGAAGGTGGAGAACTGTAACTGAGGAGGAGCACAAGTTCTTAATTTATTTAGTTCTAATAAACTGAAAATGAAGGATCAAAATAAATGGACTTTGAAGAAGTACGAATCCAATATAATCCAAAGAAGGGAGTTGGGAGATATCTCATATTGGTTGTTGGCATTTAACTGAAAACATATTCCCTAGTTGGCAACAGAAACCAAAACATCTTGAAATCAAACAGGATAGGCCAAAGATTTTTTAAGTAGCAAAAAATGTTGGTTCGATATACAAAAACAATTGAGAAGAACACCAGAATAGAATTGCAGGAAGATAATCTCAGACATAGCTACAATACAATCTGAACTCACATATTCATAAACATATTTGCCGGCCCCACTTGCATCAGCATAACTGACATGTAGAGAAAGGAGAAACGTTAATATAGCCTAAATTGAACAGTAAAAATAACAATAATAATATGATGTTCACATGGAATACCATAAAATACTGTGCCAAAATACTGAAGATCTCTGTTCATTATGCAAGCAGGAAAGGGCCTTTTATTCCCACAGCTCAGTGAAAAACTAGCTAAGACTTTTCCTAAAATTTCTTGCTAAACAATTATTAATATAAAGAATGATTTTGTTGAAATCACAAATCTTGCCCCCAAAAAAAAAAATACTTTTCAATTTTAACTAATAAATCTTACATGTAGGTTGAAGGGGGTGAGCATATAAAGAAAAGTTTGGAACTCGGTATCCTTACGGAAGAGAATCGTGTGCCACGTAGTCAATCTGATGCTTGTCAATGAAGTCCTGGGTAATCACCCATGGTGCATCTGGAATAACTTCATCAACCCACCTTCAATAAAAATAAACAAGAATCCCAATGCTTAGTCAAAAATGATATATCTGATAAGACTTCAATGATCTTAGTTTAATTGGTCCCAAGTCAAAGTATGGGTAGAGTGCCAGCTTGAAAGCATTTCTGGATCCTGCTTCTTGTTTAGCAGGATACAAATACATTTTCCCAGTATTTAAACCAATTTAAACTATGTATGCCTCACACTGGAAAATGGATTTTTGATTTTTTGTTTTTTTTTTCTTTTCTTCTCTATTTGGGGAGGTGTTTTTTAAGTTAATTGACTGCCACAATAAATGTTTATTTATGCATGGCATTGCCCATCAATCAATACTTTGTTTACACAAACAAATTACTTTCTGAATTAGAACATTCCAAGAGCGGAAATAAAATCCAGATACAAAGAAGGGATTTTCTCAACACGAACTCAACGCAGAAAAGCTTATTTCAGATCCTAACATATACATTACACCAACCTGCAATGACGGAGAGATTCATAGCGCTCCATGTCAGTCATAACAGTTTTGCCCTTGAATTTGTGCGTGACTTCATCATTGCAGCATCCAACAAGAAGATAAGTGCTGGGGAACCTACAAGCATAATTGATGATCGTCTTGCATCACAAAATGTACAAGTTTCACTCAGCTATCAGAAGCATAAAATTGAAAACCACAGAGGTTCCATAACTTTGAGTGCAAATGGGTAATATTCCAAAGAGAATTCTATCATACTTAACAGCCACTACTTTGGCAAAAAACATTTAAAAAAGGGATTAGTAAGTTATCAATTTTCTGCTATTTCTTGAAATTCAGCGTTGAACTTCCAAACAGTTTTCGTTAAGGGAAATTCCACATTGAAAAAATATAAGAACATAAACCAATATATAAGCATACAGGGGATTGAGCCCTTCTTTAATGGAATCGTACTGCAAGTCATCTATCCATCATTGTCATACCAAAACATTACTTTTACTCCCATTATCATCCATTCAACCCATTTAAAATCTTCCAACACTTTGCACGTGGGGAAAAAATTCAATTACCAGCAGCAGATTTTTCACATAACTCTATTATGTAACCAAAACCTAGTGTCGAAAACATATATTCACAGAAAGCTCCACAAAATCCAAAGACTAATTATTATCAGACTTGGATTTCTAAATAAAATATGAGTACATAGGTGCGCTTTCGTTAATTGAATTCTTTGTTCAAGTTCGTACGAGGTATGTTGTATCTTAACACCATTGCAATACAATTACCTTCCCAATTTCAGAATTTATCACACTCAGAATACTAGTATGTATCCAATAAGTTTCACGAACACACAAAAAACCACATCTATACATACACGTATATGCGCGCGTGTGTATATAGGGAGAGTTCAATGTACAGTTTTTTGGCTTGTTCGAGGGAACGAGCATGGCCAAAGTGGAAGAGATCGTAAATTCCATCGGCATATACCCGAACTGGACGATCCACCGGCAGTTCATACTCCGACGTTGACTTGCCGTTCTGTTCACTACTCTCCATCCCTCTTCGCTATGCGCGCGTGTTTCGTCGTAGGGAGCCGGAGTCTGATGTTTACTTGCAAGTACAGCTTCAGTTGATGATGCTGGAGTGCCACCTACCGTCCTGTGTCAGTCACTACAATTTTCTCCAGTGGGAATTGAGAGACAAGTATTAATAGTGACCTTTGTAAAGTTATACGCACGATGGTTCGTTATAATTCGTAGCTGCAGGTCATTGCAGACGGCTTAACTGGAGAGGATCCAGATGCGCACGGGCATAAATGCTGCTAAAGCGACAGTCTTTACTATTTAAATACGGCTGTAAACATAATTTTGTTCCATTATGCATGCTAGTATGTTTCGACCAACTCTTCTCGGCTGAGCTAGTTTGGCTTGGCAAAGATTAAATTAAATTAAAAATTTAAGTTCATAAGTACTTAAATCTATCAATCATGAACATAGACTTTCTAAATGCCCGCTACAAACAAGCAATATAACTACAAAGTTCGATCCCCAGCAAGCATAAATTCGAAGACTTTAAACTAGCATTATAGGATTTAGATAAAAGTATCTTATAGACACCAAAAGTAAGTCAAAATTAACTTTTTTTCATGTCTTTGGAAAATTTACTTTGAGAACTATAAAAATAGTGGAAATTACGCAAAACAAGAGGATTCAAGATTAGCCCTGTTTGATTCACATTAATTTTTTTATTTTCATTTTTTTACTCATTCTCAACCACACATTTTTCAATAAAATAATATTTTTCATCACATCAACAATTTTTCCTTCTTTTTTAACCACATATTCCCCAATCCCCATCACATCAACAGTAAAAATGCACTCTTTTTCAAAAAATGTGCACCAAACGGGGGCTTAATTTCAAATTTCAGATATGATGTTTCACTTTTCAAAAATCAGATATTGAATTAATGATTAAATATTATACACACTCAAACCCTAATTTTATTTCATTTCTCTCACTTCTCTTCCTCTTCTCCCTCTCGGGCAATCGGCCACTCATTCAAACTCCGGCAATCGGCGACGAAGGAGATGCGCCAACAGACGCTGCTGAGAACGGCTTTTTGTTTTCCGATTTGCCTTCTCTCTCTCTCCTTTTCTCTCCCTTCTCTCTCTTCGACACTGTCGGCGCTTCGCTGTGAAAGCCACTTCATCTCCCTCGCACCATCATCTTTTCTCTCTTTTTTTTCCTCTTCTGCATCTATTTCTGGTTGGTATGGTGGTGCGGTGGTTTGGGGATTTTTCGCACGGTGGTTGGGTTGTTTGTATGGGTGTGGTAGTGCTGGAAGAAATCCCCAATTTTAGCAAGCGTTGGTTGATTGGAGTTGCAAGTGGAGGTGGTGTGTGGATTTGGAGCAGACATTTGTTGGGGGAGGGGGGTGGCGGCGGCAATGTGTGTGATAGTCACGTCGTCGTTGGTGGTGGCGCGTTTCTGTTGTTGGCGATGGCAGTGCGCTTCTGTAGTGTTTGTGGTGGTGGTCACAAATGATTTGGTTGATTATGACCAATAAATTGATTGGTGTGTAACCAATAAACAATATGTGACCAATGAAATAGATAAATTGTGACCAATAAATACTGTGTGACCTAAAAATGTATTAATTTGTGACCAATGATTTGATAAATTGTGACCTAAATATAATTTGTGATCAATTAATTTGATGTTTTGTGACCATAAAATAAGTCGTGACTTATAAAATTTGTGATTTGTGACAAATAAATAATATGTGATTATTATAGATTTGCCGATAAATAAATTGTGAAGTATAATTTTTTGATTTGTGACCGATTAACAAATTGTGACCTATAAATTTTTTGAATTGTGACCGTATATTAATTTGTGACATATAAAAATCGTGATTTGTGACCAATTATATGGAATTTGTTATCAAATTATATGAAATTGTGACCTTAATATATTTAATTAATAAAATATATATTTAATTTATTTACTTATAAAAGAAATTAAAATTTTAAATTTTAAACTCAATTTCTTAAATTTGAAATTAGTGAAACTTAATCTTATTTTATTGAAGAATGTGTTGTTAAAAATAAGTAGAAAAATAAGAATGAAAAAAATAATGTGAATCAAACAAGGGCTTAGGTATGAAATCTTCCCATAAAAATACACACTTATTCTGAACACGGGTATAGTTTTCATGGTGGGCCAGATCATTCAACATCCCAATTCCCAAGGGTTGATGATAGAAACAAAAGATGGAGCCTTCTGGAATCAAGATATGCTTGTGTAGAAGTGGTCCCTTTTCTCTCCTTGTGCTACTTCACGTCAACTCAATCTGACCAAGATAAACATCTTAAGAGTTTTGCTACTTATATTTCGATGTACAATCCCCCATTAAAAAAAAAATCGTAAATCCTCTTTGTAAGGAGAATGTACGTCAGGGTGTCAACTTCGATGTACAAACAGCAAAACCCACATTTTAATTTGTAGAACACAAAATATTAACAAATTATTGATTGACTATTCAGCTTTGTTGAGCTACTCGACCTCAGTTTTGGACACTACAAGATTCCGCGGGACCTAATAATGTTAAATGATTAAGACGAATTTTATTTTGGGTTTAACTGATATTTTTTTAAAAAAAAAAGTTAATAAAATTCATATAAGGAAAAATAACAATATACAACATTATCTACTAGAGTTTCGAAGTTCGGGGAAACATTGTAAGCCATAACACCATAAAACCAAAAGGGAAAAATCCAAGAAAAGTACATGTTCCGTATGGGGTGTGCTCATTGTGACTTTAAATTGTGTGTGATATTGGAGCAATTAAGTTTAAAATTAGAGCAATGACGACATATGTCATAAATCATTAAAAAAAAAAGTCTATAAACATTAAATTATTATTTACTAAACAAATACTGAAAATAAACAAAAACATATATAAAAGCATATGTTGGTAGAGGCAGTGTCACCGTTGTGTGTCATCGGTGTTAATTGATGGTAGAATGCTTGAATGAAGCACCAAACTCGGTTGAATCATGGAATCAACAAAAAATGTTCAAAAAATTGAAATGTTAATGTATTTTTTTGATGTTGAGAATGTTGGAAATATTGAAGAGGAGAAGATGAAGATAGAAACTTGAACAAGATGAAATGAAGAATGAGCATCGAACACGTATATGATACGTTGTCCTAAAAATGAAATTTGCTTCATCTGGTATGCTTTTAGGATTTTCGACAAATAATTTAGAGGATTGACAAGTCTTTACACTTTCATATGAACTCATTGAGATTCCAATATGCAATAAGAAAAACATATAAGCATAATATTATGAAGCATACAGGGAAGACTGAAGTTTAAGGAAGAAATTTAGCAGATGTAAATGTACTAGTTTTAATCTTCACCTCTATTTTTTCATGTTTGATTGTACTCTTGATTCCAAATGTTTGCATTCAACACTACATATGCTCATCGCTTACACTGAATCCAAAAGGCACAACGATCTTTACGAACAAGCCTCAAATATGACTGGCTACGTACTTGAAGGAAAAGACTAGACCTTCTAAGTTAACGTTTGTGTGGGAGAGAACTCGAACTAGCGTAAGGGGTAACTCGGACTCTGATAGAGGCACTCTAAAGTACAATGTTAATAGAAGCTTCTGTCACTCATCCACCTAATTGTTAGTCATACCTCTTAGCTGCTGAAGAGGACCAGAGGTTTTTGGATAGCCACCAAAATCTTTCTTTCTAGGCTTTGCGAGTTCAACATTCAATAAGTGACAAATACGAGTAGTTTAAGAGCATATTATTTTTAATATAAGAAATTTATTTTGCTAGCGTACAAAATGGTAATGTTATGTGCCTGTGTTAGACTCGCCACCTCACCCTCCACGCGTCAGTAGAGGTGGTCCACACACGCCACGCATCAATCGAGGTGATTGTACATAGGACGAGCTGGTTATACATGTCGAAGTGATCACATCAGGAACGACCCTAACACGCGTCAACGAAGGAACCGGACTCATCCGCAAGTACACCGTGGATGCAAAGGCTCGCACTCCGTTTCTACAACGCTGCAATGCCTCACCTACATCGCCTCGTCCATTAAAGATCTCTTGCACGAAGATCTTTCCAAAGTCAAATCTCTGACTGATGGGACGAATGGCAGGACCCAAATGGTCAATTCTGCTGCCTTTGTCAGAGACATTGAATGCTAGTCAACCTATGGAGGGACAGATTGACAGCTAAGATGGGATGAGCCCTAAGGATCTGATAACGCGTGTCTCCTCCTTATCTAGCAGCTCTCATATTCCCATCCTTAATATAAATATTCCCTCCTTATGCCCAAAAAAGACTCGTTCAAGATTTTCTCCTACTACATTGCAAATTTGAGTATCATCTCCCTTAAATATTGACACTTTATCATTATACACTTTATCAATCACTTCCCGACGAGTGTTCTAAACTCGCCCCGGCTGTTGGATCATCCAAGCCACATCTAGACCGTCCAATGCTAGGGCGTGAGGATCTCTGTTAAAGCCAATGGTCATTTTAACCAACGGCCTTGATAAAGCCTTGGGTTCCATGCGCAACCCAAACGCGTTGCCTTGGAAGCAGGGGCCGTCGCCATCATTACCATTTATGGCAAAAGATGCATATCTTAGAAGCAACCGAATTCCGTTCGCGTTGCAACAACTCTTCAAAGAGTTGCCAACTCATATCACTTCGGCCAGAGCAGAATCTAACGTTGCAACAACTCCCTCTAGAGTTGCCAACTCCTTTCGCGTCGGCCACGCCAGCTTTGCGTTGCAACAGCTTTCCAAAGAGTTGCCAACTCATATCACTTCGGCCAGAGCAGAATCTAATGTTGCAACGGGTAATAAGCAAAGCATCAATGAGTTTGAGAAATTAGACCATAATCTGCCTCATGGGATGCTCCGATGCTGATTGTATCAATGAACATTACAGTACATTTTGGGATTTTAACAAGCACCAAAGTATCTCAATGTAGCCTTACATTTTGTGACGCTGATTTAAAGTGGTTTTTTTTTGTGAGACATGAAATGGATAATGGTCCCTCAAAGGTACAGAATCACAGTATGTGCATTTTGTTATGTGTACGCAGGAGCTTGCAAAATCAAGTTGATTTATTTGTGTCATAATGCATACAAAATGGTATCTATGTTCGAGGTCGAGTCGAGACCTTTGTTTCTACCATTTGGACAAGGCTTTCAATTGTTCTTTACGGTCATCTATGTCTTTGCTACTAGATGGCATTTTGACGATCGATGCATCTTATGTTTTTATCAGGCTACAGTATTGATACGAATGTTCATGGATAGTCCTCCAAATTCGAGTTTCGTATTCACGTGGCACGAGGGAGTTTGATGATGTTACAGTTGCTAGTATTGAAAATTGGACCATGCTACACTCACAAAATGTTTTATAAAATGTTTTACCGACTCGCCACTTGACGCCCCACCATTGGAGGGGCGCTTGTCATTACAGGCGCCCCTCCAATGGTGGGGCGCCAAGTGACGAGTCGGTAAAACATTTTGTAAAACATTTGGTACATCTAGGTTTATCCTTGAAAATTTATGTTGCCGTTAGATCACTGCATGTAGGCACTTGTGCCAGAAAAAGCAAAGCAGAGAACTCTTGACTCTCGTGAATAATCTCACTATCTAATTATCCCATGTTTCATAAAAATTAAAATTTAGATTTTAATTTAAGTTAAAAGTCAGCAACTAATTTTAATTACACATTTCATGAAATTTACAATTTTTCAATCACATATTTTATCAACTTTTATCAAAATTTATTGAAAGTCTAATTTTAATCCCCCACCAAACAGGGACTGTATACCTTTTAGGGATTGTTCTAAAGGTACGTCAATTATTTTCTCTCTAGATGGAGAGAATGATAAAAACACATGAAAATCCACTTATATATATTGAAATTTCCAGAAAACAAAAACAGGTTTGATTATAGGGGTGTTTGTTTTTGATTTTGAGAATCAATTCTCAAATCAATTCTCATTTTCAACCACACATTTTTCAATAAAATAATATTTTCCGTCACATCAATAATTTTTTCTTCTTTTTCAACCACACATTTCCCACATATCACCATTCAAAATCAATTCCTCCCCCAAAAATCCCTACCAAACAGGCACATAACATATCAATCTTAACCATGTTAACTAGTTAATTGTCTTCTAAAGCCAAGAGCTCAATCAAGAAGATCGTAAATGATGAAAAATAGTTACTCGTACAGAAACAAACTGATGAAATAAATTTATTGTAGCCGCCACTAGAACTCATTGACATCTATATGTACACAACACAGAGCTCGACGTGGGACCGTGTAAGTTTATCGGCGAACACGAACCTTAATCTTAATATTCCCTAAAATCATCATTAATCCTTGTTCCAGCTGAGGAATGATCTTCAGGTATAAGATCTTGCAAAAGAATGTTGTCAATATCAAGATCGTCTAAAGTCAACTCCTCCGAAGTAGGGTTGCTGAAAGTTGATAAAAATGCATCATCACTAACGAGATTGGTGTTGTGTGAAAACAAACCTTCTTGATCTTCATGAAATTTCTCGACTTCGAGTTTCTGCTGGTAGTTCTGGTGTTGCTCGTGAGTCTTCTGGGTATTGTAATTGTGTCCACGTGGGGAAACAGTTGAAGTTTCATTAAAATCATTGTGCTGTGTTGGAACTGCAAAGTTCAAGTTGATGGGTCCTTTGTAAGCCCTTGCACTTCGACAGCCGGTGAATTGTTGCACAAGGGCACGAAAATTGGTTGTGTCGGCTTTGAGGAGAGTTGTGGGTGTCTTCTTTGATGCTTTGGATCGTTTTCGAATTGGTTTATTGATGCTTCCTGATTTAGGGACTACATCAATATTAGGGGACGAATATGAATCTTTTGTGCTTAAAGTGTCACAGGATCGTTGCATTGTAACGCTTATAATGGTAGGAATTTTAGGTTAGAATCAGGTCACCCTCTTCCCCGTTCCCCCTCGGAGTATCCCTTTTTGAGGAATTATGAGGAAGATTGCAAAAACCAACATTTCCTCGAGTGTAATATATAGCGTCTCAATGTCAATTGAAGGAGAGAGAGAGGGAGGGAGAGAGGGAGAGAGAGACCAAGAATTAAGCTACTTCCAGGAAATTCAATGCTTATCTAGGTGAATAATTAAATCGTCAGGAAAAAGCTGTGGTCCTGGCCAAGTAGCAGTGTAGGGTTCCTTACAAGGTCGTTTTGGCCTCTCCTGTCACAGACTTTGACTGAGAAAGGGAGTGTGAAATTACAAATTTATTTTTAGGAAATGAATTTGTAAGAAAAGCATATTAGTTAAGTTTAGCCCTGGTGCCCATTATTTAAAAAAAAAAAAAAAAGTTTTACAATGTATTTTTAAGAGAATGTGTTGTTAAAAAATATGGAAAAGTTTTAGATTTATGTGTAAAATATTTTATTGTGTGAATATATAATTGAAAATGATCATGTGGCAAAAAGAGTTTGAAAACAATAGACACCAAACATTGGCTTAATATGAATAGGTTTTGATAAAACTTAATTCGATGTGCGTATCCATCTTTTTTTTTTTTATTATAGATGATATGTTAAAAAATGCATTCGCACATAAAATTTTAGCCTTTTAGATCGGTTCATGTAAATACAACACTACTAGTATGAAACCCATTTAATTTAGTCTACGTTCGATGGCCATTTTTTCTCAAAGACAATGTTTTAAAAAATGATTTTTAGAATAATATGTGTTTAGAGGGTGTTTGGTGAAAATTAAAATTAGATTTTTAGTAGATTGTGATAAAAGTTTTTGAATTGTGTGGTTGAAAAGTTGTAGGGTCCATGAAAGATGTGATTAATATTGATTGTTTGACTTTAAATTGGATTAAGAGGAAATTACATAATTCCAAGTATTTCAACTTTAGAATGCAAAAATTAGGTGATAATATTTTTTAATCAAAATTCAGGTATTGATTTAAAAATTAAATATTATTCACACCCTACCTAATCTCAAACCCTAAATTAATTTTCCTCTACCTCTCCTTCTCTCCTCATCTCGTCTCTCTACCTCCTCTCTCTGTACCCTCTCCATTTTCTTTAGATCGCCGTCGCCATTGAGGAGCTCCCGTCGCTAGAGAGTCGAGCAGGGGCTTCATTGCTGTTGTACTGCGCCGCGTTGTGTATGGAGCAGTGGCTTCAAAATTCAGACCGATCTGGGGACATTTTCAGACGGTGCTGTGGCTGCCGCATTTTCAGACGAATCTGTGGTGTTGCTGCGTGGTGGTTGTGTTACGTCGTGGTGACAGTGATGTTGCGTGACGCTGCTGTGGGTGTGCAGCGTCGCGACGCGGCTGTGAATCACAGCAGCGCCGCGACGTTGCTGCCGTCCACAGCAGCGTCGCGACGTTGTTTGCAGATTTGTGTTAGTGATTTTCTCGTTGGTTGTGATTTTGGTGTTATTGTTGGTAGTGATTTTGGTTGTGATTTTGCGGTGGTTTTCTCGATAGGAGATTTGATGAAATCTTAGGTGTTTTGTGTGGTGGCCGTGCTTTGTTTAGTGGCCGTGGAGGGTGGTGGTGTTTTGTGTGGTGGTGGTGGCTGAATTAGTGCAATGGTATGTGACCAAATATGTGGTTATCTGTGACCAAATATTTAACTGTGACATAAAAATTTGACAATATGTAACAGAAAAATAATCTGTGACCAACAAATTTGAAAATATGTGACCAATGAAATTAATCATTTTTTTATCTGTGATCATCAAAAAATATGTGACCAATTAATTTGAAAATCTGTGACTGTGTGACTTATAAATTTTGATCTGTGACTTACTAATTTTGAAATCTATGACCAACGAATTAATTGTGACCTATAAAAATTTTAAACTGTGGCCGTAAATTGTAAATTTGTGAGCAGAATGGTCACCGGAACAGTCGCCGCAACGATAGCCGGAGAAGAGTTGTAGTCGGAATGGTCGCCGAAATAGTCCCCGTAGCGATATGGTGGTGCATGTGGGATGAGTTAATTATATTATATTAGAATTAAATATTTAATAATAAATTGATTTAATAATTTATTATTTCATAAATAAAAATTAAAAAAAAACTTGATTTTTGAATTTTCAAACTATAAACCTGATTTTTGAATTG